TACTGCCTCGGAAACCCAAGGAGGAATCACTATGAGTCAGGGCCAACTCGACGGCAAACAACAACAACATCTCCACTTGTACGTCCAAAATGAAACTCGATTATCTACATACACACATACATAAATTGTATCAATCCCGACCTTCAATCTTCCTGTATCCTGGTGAATGGCAACACCATCCATCCAGTTGCTCAACTCAAAACCTTACGAGTCACCTTGAATCTTCCCTTTGCCTTATCTCCGCATTTAACCCAGTTCAAGCTCCAAACCCATCTTCTTCTATCTTCTCTGCCACTTCCCTTGTTCACGTCTCCACATTTTCTCTCCTTGTTTACTTCAACAGCCTCCTACATGGTCTCCCAGCTTCCACTCTAGATTATTCATCTCACAGCCGGTGGTGGTTATGTTTGTGTGTCAACTTGGCTGGGCCTGATTGAGTGGCTGGGGAGCTGGTGGTAGTTATTCCCCATGATGAGACGCAATCAACTCCATGGTAGGATCTACCACAAGCAGCTGAGTAGCTGCCTTTGCCATGTGGTCTGCTTCCTGCATTTAAGGAGAAGCCTTGGGAATGGTCTCTAGCCTATGGCACGCTTGGACCCTGCATGTAGCCAGGTCGTTGTTCAGCAGCCTGCTATGCTCTGCTGACCTTGGGACTTACAATGGACTTAAGTTAATGGCCTGCCATGTGGTTTGGTAACATTGGGACTGTATCTTTTTACTTGTCAACCTTAGGGCTTCTCAGCCTCAGCAGCTGTCTGAGTGAAGAAACGCCTCTAGTTTCAGTGGGCCAGGAGCAGAAGGCAGAGCTGGACCCCAAGATTGAGGGGCTTTCTCCCAGTCCCTAGAGCTTGGCACTTTGAACTTGGACTTAAAGCCTCCAAATTGTAAGAATAAACTCCTGTTTGTTAAGCCATCCCATTTGTGGTATATTTCTTGTCAGAGCAGCACTAGGGAACCAGAACACAGCCAGAAAGACGGTTGTTGTTACTGTTGTTATTGGTTAGATTGAAGCTTAACGCAGACCGTGTCTCTTTCCTGCTTATAACCCATCAGTGACTATTCTACGAATAAAATCCAACTCTTCAGCATGGCCCACAGACCTGCATGGTTTGACTGCTCCCTCACTCTGACTTACTTGCGTATCCTCACTCCCTGTGCTTACTCTGTTTCCACAGGCTGCTTGCTTATTCCTCAAAAACACCTGGTCTTTTTCTGTCTGCTGCTCTCCCACTAGCTGATCTTTCTGCCTGTAACAGTCTTGTCCTCATCCTGCAAATGTCTGACTCGTTCTCATCCCTCAAATCTGAAGTTGGATCCTCTCATAGGGACTGTCCCTAACCACCATCCCATGTCAAGTGGCTTCTCTATTCTCCCTCCTTGGTTTCAGTTCCCTGTCAGAACTGATCACGAGCCGCCGTTTATTTTGTCTTTCTTTAGCTGTTTTGTTGTTGTTGTTGTTGTTGTTGTTGTTGTTTTGTTTTTTTGCCTAACTCTCCCAGTGAACTGCTCATCTTGCTTTCTGATATAGGGCCTGGCACTCAGTAAGAAATCAAGAAACAGTTGTTGAGCTAGTTAATTAATGTTGGCAGAGAGGAGGTTCTCCCATCACTGTTATGAATATCAGTATTCCTTCTAAACGACTAGGGGGTCCCCTAGTAATGTCCCATCTACTGTTCTCATCTTTAATTCACACTCAAACGTTCTCCAGCTGATTTCACTCTTAACGTGTGGTGAAGGTCCGGAAGACTAGCCCATCCTGCCCATCTTCCTAGACTAGGATTTCTTTAGAGGTCCAAAAACAACTTCACGCTAATCTTCTGTTCCAGAGAGAACTGTGACACCATGCCTCAGGCCACCTGAATCACCTTCAACACTGTCTGTGTTCCTTAAGTCCATACTTCTAGCATCTTCTAGCACCTTACACCCAAGTCATCCTCGGTCACCAGCCAAAACCTGAGCGCCTTCTAGATATGTCATTCCCATACCTCATCTCTCCCAATATTTCCTTAACAGTCTCTCAGTTTTGTACCTGTAGACAGAGAAATGACATATGTTCTCTGGTGTGAATAGCTGTGCACAAGAAAAAGTTTTTAACAATATGTATTTAATTGTGTGTTATTACTGGTCATTTTCAAACTTTGGTCACTAGGGACTCTTCCTCTCCACAGAAGACAATGCAATGGTAAATTATTAGTCAAGGTATTGAAAACAAAATAAAAGTATTATTCTACTCCTATATTAAAAAAAAAAAAAAAAAAGTCTCTATAATATCTCTCATCCCTGGATGGGGGAGGAAAGAGGAAGCCACAATATCTTTAAGTTTCAATACAAAAGTTAACAAATTCTTACAAATATGCGAGTAAATTTCACTTCCCCCAACAGCATTAAAATCTCTTTTCTTGTCTAGCTGTTCACCTTGCCCAGCAAGGTTCTGCACACAGAGTTTGCTATCAGCAAGCAGATGGGCTCTGTTTCTCTGCCTATGAAAATCTTATTTACAGAGTTGTGTATTTCTCACGGTGACCTCATATCTGGAACCCATTCCCTGCCCCATCTGCAAGGAACAACTGTTGTCAACTGTGGGAGAAGGCCGGCTCTGGCTGCACAGTGTCCTGATGTCACAGGCCAGGAGGAATCACTTACAAACTCCTGGGAACATCAGACTGATCAGATTTTGTTTTGTTTTGTTTTAATGTCAGCAAAGAGCTGCTTCAAAAGTACAAATTAAAAGGAGGAGGAGGGTGGAGTTAATACAACTGCAGAATATTTCTGTCACCCTAATGCTACAAATTCTAGGGCCCAAATCCTAAGCTATTTTTCTTTCAAGTTATAACTGAGGTTTCTCTCCACTCACTCTTCAGCAAAAGACTATCAATCTTGATCCTATTCAATCAGTAAATAAATATTCATTCAGTATAAATACACCAAGCATCAAGCAAATGCCAGGCACTGTGATAACCTATGGGAATAAGACATGACTCTGTCCTCAGGGGAGTGAACAGTCTATTCCCAGAGATGGAAAGGCAAGAAGTAGTAACAGATTTAAAGTAAAATGTAAAGAAAGGAGTTGGTATCAGAAAAGAAGTGACAACCAGCTGTGTTTGGAGAAGGAAGGGGAGGTTTCTCAAAGGAGGTCACCTTGTGGCAGGGCCATAAAGGGCATGCATGACTCCATCGAGCTGGTGGGAGAACACACTCTAACCACCAGGAACAGCACGTACAAAGTCACAGACACATCAGAGAGCACAGTGCTTAAAAAAAGGCTTGAAGTTCAGGGTGGATGGTGGAGAGTTCCTGGAGGAGAGTGGCAGGAGATGAGAATGGGAAGGGTACCACGGGTCCTCGCCTATGAATCAAAATGACAGGAATAAAGCAGACAGGGGACAGTATAAGCGAGACAGACTTGTGGACAAAATGGAGCTCGGCCTTGTAGGCAGAAGGACGTACAGCAAATGGATGGACTGCTGAATGCACAAATACAGCTTCCAACTCTCCTAGGAGGTCTCATCAAAGAAACCCAGGAGAAACTGAAAACAAAGAAACCAATACTACTCCCAGAACCAGCAAGAGCAATTCTGTAACGATTTTTCCGTAAAGAGTCTTCCTCAATCATACTTGCACTTGACCACAGATGAACAAAGTGGTGAGAAGGAATAGAAGATGATAAGATCTGTTCACTGGCTGCATCTTCAGCCAAAAACCCAAAGGTAGAGGCTATGTAGGAAAACAATCAATTTTTTTCAAGTGAGCCAGGTTGCACATGGCAATATTTCTGTATTAACCTAAGAATTAGAAAACAGACTTAATTCAAAGAATAAACAGCCCTACCTCCCTCTTCAGCCTCATTACTACTATTTCTACCTGGCTTGTGTTTCATTCCCAAGGATATCGAAGCTGCCTTGCTCCATACTGATCCTCAAGTTCACGTTCTCATCAGTGCCATCACCTCCCCAAACCTCCTTCCCACACACATACCACTCATGTTGGTCAGTCATCCTTCAAGATCTGCCACATTGTCCTCATCTACAGAGGCCCCTTCCAGAACCTCGGGCTACACAGCTTTCCAACCCTGATATACTCCCACACACCCGGGTCATACTTTTAACCGATAACGTAACATTTGATGCCCAAATCTCCTGTTCATGTGACTGCCCCCTCCCCGCACTGGACTATGAGTTCTGAAGTGCAAAAAAGTGTCTTGTCCACCTGCATCACAAGAGCCCTATGTCAGGGGAGGAAGTGGGAAGACAGCTGTTACACTGTGGGGGACTGCAGTCAATGTCACGAAACAAAATGTGTATGAACTGCTGTGTGGAAAACAAATTTGCTCTGTAAACTTTCACCCAAATCACAATAAAAATTGGAAAGAAAAAAAAAAAAGTGCCCTGTGTGACATGCTCAGAGCCATGACTGTTCCTGGCTCTCAGTGGACGCACAATCAACATGTGGTGAACCAAACTCCTGAACCAGCGTCTGAACACATCTTGTAAACTATAAAGCATTCAATCTATAATGGGGGCTGTTGTCTACACGGTTCCCTTTTCAACCTTACCCTTTACTCCCCACCATTCAGCATTCATGCACTCCAAGCAAACCGAACTAGTCCATGTTTCATCCAGCCAAACCCTCTTTTCCATTCCTGTCTTGAAGCTCACATTGGTCCCTCTGTTTGTAAAGCTCTCGCTCTTACTGTCACTTATTCAAACTGCACCAATCCATGGCCTGGCTCATATAGATCCCTCCCAGCAGCGCACACCTAGATAGGCCTCAATGGAAGCAATGGTGCTCTTCTCCCAGATCTCAGAGTACTTTGCCTGTACCTGTCCTGGGGCACTTATCACCTCTACATGCACAGTACGTGTAAGAGGCTGCCAGCCCTATGCCCATCACGTCATCAGCATTCTCAGAGCACACAGCACAGAACGTTAAGCATGACTTGAATGAATGATTACTTATTGCACACAGTCAAAGACAGCCTTCTGGTATGGTATATGCACCTGGATAAGTGTCCCTCTCTTCAGGCCTTCTGAGACATCCTCCTTGGACATGTAGGTTTCAAATATGCTCCTTTTCTTCCCTCGCTTGGCCTTGTTCTTTGACTTTCTGTCACCTGGAGAAGCACCAACACCATGTGGGCCAGACACAGAGGACACACCTGGAAACATGAGGCAGCAATCAACTCTCTCCTGTTAAACATCTCAACATTTTTTTAAAAAAAAAACTGAAGATACCATATCCGTTTTGGGGTTGTTTTTTTTTTTTTCCTTTCTTTTCTTTTAATTTAAAAAAACCAACAAGAGACTGAAACTCCCCAATGATTTCAGTCACAAGAAGGAATGGGTGGGGGTCGGGGGAATGGATGGATAAGGAAACACGAATAAAATGGACACAGATGTGAGCTGAGTTTTGAACCAGCACCGCAATCTGCATGGAACATAATCTGAATCATGGGTTCAGTATGCTGTGCTGTTTATAGACACAAACTTCTTAAATACAGGAATTACTGAAAGACTGTCACTTCTCTGCAGGAAATTAAACAGCTGTACTCAATACAACAAAAAACTAAAACAACTAGAAACCACACCTAATTCTAGAATAAATAACACTGGAGAATAGTTAACAGATCACCAGAAGAGTTATAACTGCCCTCAGTCCCTGCACCCCTCCACCTCCCCACCCACTCCTCTTGGGTTTTGGGGTCTCCTGGTGTTTCCACAGGAGCAGACCCCATTTTCCTTTCGCTACCTCTGGGCGTCCCCAGGGACTGCGGGTTCAGCTTGTAGTCAGGATGGCTCATCATGGGTTCCCAGGATCGTCTCTCTGCTTCAGACCCAGGAGAGCCTCCACTGCTCACCTCTGAGTCCTTTCTGCCTTGAGCAGCTCAGACGTCACTAGCTGAAACCAAAGAGAGATTGGTGACAAGCAGTTAACCTGTGGCCTCCTCTGTCCACTGGGAAACTTAGTACCTGGACAGTCCCTCCTGGGTCCTGGCATCACGTTTCTCCAGGGCAGTAAGTTAGGCATACTGTGTCCCAAGTTTCTGTCCAAAGACTTCACCCTTACAGGTATCACTACTTTACTGCTTTAGAGCCCTTCAACTAGAAATCTCCATGGATGGGGCAACGAGGTGGAAATCAAGGACTTCTGTAATGCTATTCAGCTTGCAAAATGCACAAAAATAGGAGGAAATATGGCTTTGCAATATGATGTTGTGATCTGTGATCAGAAAGCTGTAAGAGAATATAGGAGCGCTGGTGGTTCAGTGGTTAAGGCATTTGGCTGCTAAGCAAAGGGTCGGTGGTTCAAACCTACCAGTCACTCTGCGAAACATGTGGGCAGTCTGCTGCCATAAATATTTACAGCTTTGGAAAGTCAATGGGGGTCACTATGAGTTGGAATCGACTGAGTGGCAGTGCATTTGGTTTTTGCTTTGGTAAGAGAATAGTTACTCAGGTCTCCAGTGGTTACTAGTACTGCTGAGTTGATTCCTACTCGCAGCAATCCGCTGTGTGCCGAGTGCCACTGCTGCACAGGGTTTTCAAGGTGTGACCTTTGGAGGCAGACTGCCAGGCCTTACTTCCAAGGCACCTGTGGCTGGGTTTAACCACCACCTTCTCAGCTGCTGTCCAGCACTTAACCATTTGTACAACCAAGGGATTCCTAGGCCTTAAGTAGGGCTCAAGAATAAACTGGGGTTCCTAAACATAGGGATGTAGCATTTACTAAGTTGAAGTTTGGACAAGTGACTCACCTCCATGAACCAAGGTAGCCAGTACCTTCAAATTCATTCACAAAACCTAATCCACTGCCACAACCTGACGCACAAAACTGCCCAGGAAATCCCAGACAGTTCACTTGCTTTCAAAAATGGCAGTACTGCAGTTAAACATCTACTTGCCTCCTCTCACCTGCCATCACCTCAAACCAGTCATCAGACTAGCAGCTCAGGCGGCTGCTTCTAGGGAATACGAGAGCAGCTGTCTGCGTCAGCACACTGGCATGTAGGGCCCTGCAGCTGGCCCCCCGACCTTCCACCTGGACAGTGAACATGTAACATAACTTCTTTGTTCTAGCCTCTACTGGCCACCAGCCCAGTACTGAAACCTACCCTTGCAAATTTCCAAAATCCTGGTGGCCAGTCTGCTTTCCCATAAAATGAATCAAGATGTCATTCTGAACACTAGCTCCCATTTCCCCTAAATCTCCCACATACATCCTTCACCACAATGACGTGATTTTTCTTTATAAATTTAAACTAATAGTAACTCAGAAGAGAAAAGAAGCAACAGAGACAAAGGGCAACAGGCCACTTTGTGATATATGAAGACAGAGGTAAAGTCAGTCAAATTGCAAGAAGAGAGAAAGAGACATGGTCTTACAGAAACAAGGGAGAAAGATGAGGCAATCTGCTTCCATAAAGATGTACAGTCTTGGAACCCTATGGGTCAGTTCTACTCTGTCCTACAGGGTCGCTATGAGCCAGAATCGACTTGATGACAGTGTGTATAGAAACAAGAGAGTAGAAAAGGCTCATAGAAGAACCCAGATTGTGTGATGGCTGTAATCCAAAAACGCATTTCCTGCCAAGGGTGGGAGGGGAGGGGAGGGAACACTGCAAAAATAAAATAATTTAAAGAAAAAAGCACTCACATACTCTTTCACTCCACAATTGTTTTTGCAAGGCCCTGTATTGGGCACATTGAGGGACACAAGGGATAATTAAGTAAAAAGCAAATGGAAATAACAATCAGTACAACTGGGAAGTGATAAGCTTTAAATATATATAGAGAGAGAGAAAGAGAGATACACAGATAGATAGATAGACAGACAGACAGACAGACAGACAGATAGATAGATAGATAGATAAACATGCACGTGATGGGAGGAGAGAGTATCCCGAGGTTAGGAAATCTCAGAGAGCTTCAGGAAGGATTTTAAGAATGGAAAGGGAGAACGGAGATGTGAGAAATGCTCACTGCTGGCAAAAGGCAACAGAAGTAGAGACAAAGGAAAACAGGCAGATTGCTGCAACATGAATTCCATTTGGATAGAGTCTCACCTGTACGAAGGCAGGCAGTGGCAAGGAAGGGGGGGAAAAAAGCTGGAACCAAATCATGCATGGCCTAGAAAACCAGCCGTTTTTCGAAGGTAGTAGGGAGTTTCTAAAACATGAATGAGCAGAAGAGAAGGACAGATCAGAGTTGTGCAGGAAAAGTTAACCTCACACAGGATTCAGAGTAGTCTGGAGCTGGGCAAGACTGGCCACTGCTGCACCTCAGAAGACAATCAGACGGAGCTGGTGGAAGGCAAGGTAGGGCTGCACACCAGCGCACCAGGAGACAGTGAAAGGAGGGGCCCCTCCACATGGAACTACAGAGGAGAAGCCTCACCAGCCGGCAACCAGGCAGATCTGGGAGATGAAGGAAGTGGCAATAGTGGGGGACTTCAAAGTAGAAGACTGGGAGGTGGTAGCTTAGAGATCATGACAAATTCTACTTGGGTATTATTCACATCTATGTGGAGCAATCCACCAAATAATTAGAAACTGCAGTGTAACTGAGAGAGATGAATCAGCCACCATTTGCATAAAGATGGTAACCCTAAGTTTTCTAGAGTAGACGACACTGCCAAGAAGGTATGCCAATAACAGAAGAGAGCCTAGGACAAAATCTGGGTGAGAGCAACTTTTAGGAACTGCAAAGAGGAAGAAGTAGTAGAAAATTCAAGCAAAAAGTTAATAGGATATAGGAAAAGAACCACCTAAGTCAAGTATTAAGAAAACAAGGGAGAAGAGAACTTGCAGAGGAGATGGTTTATGGTTGGGGTTTGCACCACTAGGAAGAATACAACTCCCCCAAAATGCCAGCCTTGGGTGAGAAGATGAGGCAGAGGCAAGCTGCCTGTAAAGAGAAGATAATTCAAAGACAAGAGCTTTGTATCGAGTCCTGATATAGACAAGAATTCAAAATTAAGGGAAGTTATTGCTAGTCAAGTCGGATGGGGAGACAGATCGCCACTCCAGTGTCTCCCAGTCAGAGGCAGCTGCACTTTTCCTTCACAGCAGATATCCCAGTTTGTCCAACTGGTACCTAACTGATCCCTCTATCTCAGAGAGCAAGGAATGTTTGATTGGGTTCATGACTGTAACCTCAAGGGCTCCCACAACCAAGCATAGATAGGAGTTCAACAACCACTCCTTAAACAAATGGGTGAGTTTGTTTTCATAGACAGTGAAAACACCAAACTGAAAACAGTCAGCAAAGAAGGGGGAAAGAACCAGGCAATAAGCCAGACAGCTAGGAAGTGAATCAAAACTTACCTTGGGCTATCAAGCCACTGGGAGGAGATGGAAAGATTCTGCGTGTATCTGACTGCTGATCGAAGAACGACAAGCAGTCCCTTCCCAGGAATGTAGCTCTGAAAGTCCACCGAGCCTGGAGAATTCCTGGGCATTCCAACCCTGACATACTGAGAGAATGGTCTATTTCCAATGCTCACCAGCTTCCACAATAAGAGCCAGTGATAAAGCACCCCACTGCCCTGCATCGGTTTTTTAAGAGAAGGCGTTTTACCATAGAAACGGCTACACATTCTGAAGAGTCGGGCTGGGTTTAGAATAGAATCGGTACAAACAGTCAATAGTGTCCTGGGTTCACCATTATGCAACTGCACATAAAGGAGGGAATGACGAGGAATGAGGAAAAGGAATACTTGAGAAAAAGCGGTGCTGTCTTAAAACTCTTTATATTTCCCAAATGTAACGCAATGCATAGTGCATGGTACATGTTCAAAAATTTTAATAAATACATGAGCCTATTTAGAAGGTAAGAAAGGGCCTATGGAAAGCAAGGAAGTAGAAAAACAAGTGAAAGAGAATATAAATCAATAAAATAAACCTACAGAAAAAAAGAAGATAGGATTAAAATAAATCTCTTGGAATTAAAGAAACAATTTACTTTACAAATCAGAAGGAAACACATCAATTAGGCAACAAGTGCTGTTAAGATACCCAGTGGGCCATTCACAAAAATAAATAAACGAATAAAAAGCCAGCGTACTCCTACTTCACAATATATTATAACATACATTTTATAATATATTCAGCAGATCTACAAGAAATGTAACAGAGACAACCTGGAAGTGAGACAGCCAAAGTGAACCTTGATAAGGTCCTACCTTTCCCTACCAGTCCGGAAGGCTGTGCACATGTGTAAGAATGCAAACACACAGGAGAGAAATGGGAAGGCGCTAGCTACTCATCCTTGAATGAATATGAGGGCTTGCAAATGCAGAAAGTGAAAGCCAGGACAGACTTGTGAACTGCCTGAACTCTGAATGCATTCTCCGAGTGCACACACAAGTAACGACAAAGAATGGGGGCTTCACTGTCTTAAGAAGTTCAAACACAGCCTCTGACCAATCACAGGCTGGCTGACCACTAAAATATGCTTACCTAAGGGCAACTCCTAGAAAATCAAACTTTAAAATAAGAAAAAATAACTGAGCAGAGACATCAGCAGCCACACACTGCAAGAGAAACAGATGTCAAAGAATTAGACCAGGCAAGTCACTAAACAAACAAAAACAGCTATAACCCCCCACCTTGGGGAGGAAAGAGAATCAGAATCTAGAATACATTATGAAAAATGTCCAGTTTTAAAGAAAAAATTGTCCAGAGCAAAGAAGAAAGAAGAAAATCAAAGATTCATGGAAACAATCAGTCCTAGCGACTGTTACACCATGTGATCTGGAGCCTACATGAATATAAGACCAGAACTAGATGGTGCCCAGCTACCA